TTACACGGCCTTGCAGGATTACCTTGCACAAGCTCCCCAGGGAGCCAGAACAGCTTTTGCAATTAACAACACTATTCCTCTCTCTCTCTCGATACACATGGCCTAAACTATATGGCTAAATATACAGCAGGAACCCTGCCACAGAGAGGAACTCTCTGTACCATCATAATTCAGAAGAAACCATACGACCCAAACCCCACGTTATTGTACTGGCACATGCAGCCAGTAAACACAGTTCAGTATATTGTAAACTTTTCCAGATATGGAAAAAAGTTCAAGGGCTATGTAGCTGCTTAAACAATTAACAAGTTCCGACAGAGCAAACTGTCATTTTGCAAAGACAAAGCCAAGTGAGCTAAAAAAAAAAAAAAAGTTTCTGGCAAAACAGCACTATTCTTTGAGGGAGCTAGTGATACAACTACAAAAGGAACACCACAGTTTTACAATGAAAAGCATCCTCAGGCTTACCCAGTCCAGCTCAATACCTCCTAGGCCTCTCAAAGCGACATTTCTTTTACAGTAGAGAAAGTGGGAGCAGGTAAAAAAAAAATTTACATCTGCTGACTTACACGGATTGCCACCTATTTTATATCCTGGTGTAACATTTTTGTTTTCTCATAGTAACAACCATGTTAGAAGGTGTTCACCAGCTTTTCTGCAGCATGCCAAGCTCAAACACCTCACCCATGAACCCACAGGGCACAGGCCTGGCTTGACCCAAATGACTATTTTCTTAAATAGTTCACAAAGCTTCCTGGCTTAAATGAGCTGGAGAAACCAGCAGACAGCTAAATCATATTATCATAACCCTAACAGCAGAACACCCATTTAATTTACAATACACACGACAAAACTTTAGTCGAAACAGAATTAGAAGTTCAGAAGTCGAGGTTGGGGCACACAGCTGCTCTGAAATCCCAGCATACATGGAAACCTCCTTCCGGACAGCTCTTACTGAAGCACTAAGAGCAAAACTATGTTTTCCAGAGATACAGAGCTCACAGAGAGACATGAAATTAGCAAGGAAGGAAAAAAGCAGGAAGACACCAGAGCATAACTCAGCAGAAACACGGGCACGACTTCTGCCGAGAAAGAACTGCATGCAGAACATGGGCATGGATTCATCGCAACACGTGCCAGCCACTGCCAACACACGGTCCGTACGGACACACTGCAGGGCAGCGCGATCTGCCGCTACTCTAATGCGTTTACAGCAAGCACCTTAAAAAGACACCAGGTGGACCATGCTACAGATGCCTCCCCACCATGGCCAGGTTGTTTCTTTACAGTAAACTGGCAGGTCAAAGGTTTCACCTTTTGATCCCCGGATAAAAAAAAAGATGCAAATATGCGGGCATTTGAGTTAGCAGGTGGCAAGGCCTCCCGCACCCTTGCCAGCGATGGCATGCTGCCCTGCGCCTTCCTCCTTCCCACGGGCAGGAGCCCCAGCCGAAGGGGAACGGTACAACACTGCAGCCATCCGTTCAGACTCCAGAACTCTGCAAACCCGCTGTGCTGAGATCAGATCGTTTACAGATCACACACTCTCACGTGTAATCAACATCCATTTTGAAAAGACATCTCGGGACACTAAGGCCTATCTGCTGGAGTACTGCCTCAGGAGCAGCATTTTTAACCGGCAATGTCAGCTTCTTAAGGACTTCAGAGATGACTCTTAACGTTGACTTCTCGTACATGCCCTTCCCTGTTCCTGCTAAAGTAGGAACAAACAATTCACAGTAGGGAGGATGCGAAACAAAAATATATAGCAGGATCCAAAGAAAATTTAGACGTAATCACGAGGCCCTAGACTACAGAGGATCCTATGTCGCAAGAATGTGCATTTTAGACAGCCTCTCTCCAACAACTGCCTTATTTTACCCTCTTACCTGCCTTTAGATTGTGTAACTAATAATGCAGTTCACAAAGCCAACCTCACTCTGTGCTGGGCACCTGCAAAGTGTCAGAGCAAGTATACAGACAAACTACTAAACGCTCCAGGAGAAGGCACTGTTGTGTCTAAATACTCATTTTTTTCTGTCTCTACAATATACTCCCTTGAAGGCAATCTGAGAGGCTAAGCTTCAAAACATATCTTTCTAAAGGAATGGAAATCAGGTTATGCAACACAAACCTAAAGAACAGATCTCCTCTTCCACAGCACTTGAGGGCAGCGTCCACACAAAAGGCACATTAAAAACACACCTAAAACATCACATTGGCCTTACCGTAAACATTGACGTAACTATCTGCCTTTGCTACTAGCGGGAAGGAATTCTGCAAGAGTCCTTTGGAGAGAGTAATTAGATGATTTAATTGTCTGTGCTCTTAGGAAAGAGCATCCTGAAAATGTCCATTTGCTGATGTGACCCTGCAGCCTCTTACACACACACTCTGTGCTGACACTGCCGCAGAAGCAGCAGATAAAGGCTCTTCTCCTTCCACCCATCAGCTGTAAGACAACCTATAATGTTTCTCAAACGGTTTTGCATATTGTTTATTTCAATTAGCAGATCTGTTCCTATGCCACAGCATCAGACACATCACCGTATACTGAGAAAACAAGAACGAGTACCCCACCTCCAACAAGTCCCGAGGAAACGCTGCTGCACACACACCACCACCCACTCCACGTCTCCCGATTCCTCACACACACCAGCAAACAGAAGTGAACCTGCGCCTCCCAAGGCTGCTGCACAGAGTACTGCTTATTCCAAACTCATCACGTCACCTTCTGGCACGTAAACGCACTCAAAAAGCCATTCAGGAGGCAATTACAGTGACAATTACCTTGTGGAGACTTTGACATATATTTATAGAAACCTCAAACACATTAATCTCCCCAAAACAACAAAAGTTAGGGAAACAAGCCCTCGTCAGCCTGGTGAAAATGAAGATTCAGGGCTCACACGTGCCTCTGGGCCACTGCAAAGCCCATTCTGCCACACCACCGGAGGTTCTACCAAACTTCACTTTTAAACAAGAAGATGCAGAGCGGGGAATTGGAGTGAACAAATCCATCCTGCTGCACCGAGAAGCACACGGTGAGACCTACGCACCATCGGGGGCTCCACCCCAGCTCCCGGGGTCACGGCTGCGGCCCGGACAAGCTGCTACCCCTGCCAGCCGCCGCTCCCCCCAGCCCCGCGGGCCCGCGCTAGCGCCCCTGACCGCCTCCCTCGGGAGCACAGGCAGGGCCTCCCGTCCCGCAACGCCATGCGGGAACCCCGCACACAAGCCGTGACCCCGGCGAAGGGAGAAAGCCTCCGGAGAGAGGCCGAAGATGTGAGGCGGGGGAGGAATCTCCGGGGACGGGGCCTAGAAGCCCGGGCGGAGGACGGGAATCTCCAGCAATGGGCTGGGCCGGGACAGGGGGATGAGTCTCCAGGGAGAGGCCGGGCCGGAGCGGGACAAGGGC